GTTATAGTGTGATTTTTGGTCTTCTGGATATATACCTAGTAGAGGAATTGTAGGATCAAATGGCAGGTCTATTTTTAGATCTCTAAGTGTTCTCCAAACATCTTTCCAAAAGGAACGTATTAGTTTGCATTCCACTAGCAATGTAGAAGTGTTCCCTTTTCTCCACATCCATGCCAACATCTCGGGTTTTGGGATTTTGTGGTATGGGCTAATCTTACTGGAGTTAGATGATATCTCATAGTAGTTCTGATTTGCATTTCTCTGATGATTAAGGATGATGAGCATTTTTTCATGTGTCTGTAGGCCGTGTGCCTGTCTTCTTCAGAGAAGTTTCTCAAGTCCCTTGCCCACCCTGAGATGGGATCACTTGTTCTTTTCTTGCTAATATGTTGAGTTCTGTGTGGATTCTGGTTATTAAACCTTCATGGTGACATAACCTGCAAATATCTTCTCCCATTCTTAGGGCTGTCTGCTTGCTTTACTTACTGTGTTCCTGGCTGTGCAGAAGCTTTTTAGTTTGATCAGGTCCCAGTAATGTATTTTTGATGTTGCTTCAATTGCCCTGGGGGAGGGTCCTCCTCATAAAATATTTGCCTACTCGAGTTTTCCCTGCATTTTCTTCTAGTATTTTTATAGTTTCATGTCTTAAGTTTAAATCTTTAATCCAGTGAGAGTCTATTTAGTTAATGGTGAGAGATATGGGTCCAGTTTCAGTCTTTTACAGGTCACCAGCCTGTTTGCCCAGCACCATTTGTTAAATAGGAAATCTTTTCCCCACTGAATGTTTTTAATTGGCTTGTCAAAGATCAAATAACAGTAAGTAGCTGAGTTCGTCTCTCTTGGTTCTCTATTCTGTTCCATACATCTACCTCTCTGTTTTCGTGCCAGTACTATGCTGTTTTGATCACTATAGATTTATAGTGTAGTCTGAGGTCTGGTAGCGTGATCCCCCCTGCTTTGTTTTTATTTCTGACTAAATAATGTCTTGGCTATTCAAGGCTTTTTCTGATTCCATATAAAGCACATTTTTATTTTTTTGAGATCTTTAAGGTATGACAATGGAGCTTTAATAGGGATTGTATTAAAATTGTATATTGCTTTGGGTAGTATGGACATTTAAACAATGTGGATTCTTCCCAGCCATGCGCATGGTATGTTTTTACGTTTGTTAACATCTTCAGCTATTTCTTTTCTTAGAGTTTCATAGTTCTCTTCATAGAGATCTTTTACATCCTTTGTTAGGTAAACTCCAAAATATTTCATCTTCTTTGGCACCACTGTGAATGGAATAGAGCCCTTGACTATATTTTCAGCTTGACTGTTGTTGGTATATATAAAGGCTACAGATTTATGGGTGTTTTTTCATAACCTGAGATACTTCTGTATTCCTTGATCACTTCTAAGAGTTTTGTAGTAGAATCCCTGGTTTTTCCAGATATACAATCATATCATCTGCAAAGAGTGAAAGTTGATCTCCTCTGACCCTATATGGATACCCTTGATTGCCTTTTCTTCCCTAATTGAGATGGCTAAGACTTCCATTACAATGTTAAAAAGCAGTGGAGACAATGGGCAACCTTGCCTGGTTCCTAATTTGAGTGGAAAAACCATTCAGTATGATATTGGCTGTGGGTTTGCTGTAGATGGCCTCTATCAGTTTAAGAAATGTCCCTTTTAGGCTCGGCGCCTATAGCTCAACCGGCTAAGGCGCCAGCCACGTACACCTAAGGTGGCGGGTTCGAATCCCCAGCCCGGACCCGCCAAACAA